ATTGTCCAGCAAAACCTGCTCAACAATGCCCATGTACACACCAGCACACGCAGTTTTCTTCACCAAAAATTCTTCTACATGCTCTTCAGCAATTTGGAGGAGGTTTAGCAGTTTGGTGGAGGGGACCTGAAGGTAACCTCTCGACTTCACAAGAATGAGGTCACTTGGTGATCGTTGCAAGCCTTTTAAAGACTCCACGCAGTCGGTGCAGCACATCTCAGAAAATTTTTGGACAACATAGCCGGTAAGGTAGTCTAAAATGCACTCCTTTAGAGACAAGTCCGTGAGGGCCTCTTCCTCACTCTCAGTCGGCTCTAAAAGAACGTCATCCAGGAGAATGGCCAGGGAGTCAACCTGAAACGAGAATTTTCTTTGTTTACATGCATGTTCGTGGAAAAATATCATGCACAGGTAAATGATGAACTCTGTGCATATTCTGAGTGAACGTCTGTTTAGCAGCTCTTTGCCGGAAAATATATTCCAGATGGAGAAACTATCAATAGCTCTTTTGTTTTCAATATGGCATCGTACATGATTGACAGGAGCAGCTTCCTTGTTGAAGAGGTCCTGCAGCTTGAACAGCAACTGCGGCCCGTCACCATCAACTGATGCCCCCTTGGGTAGGCGGACAAGGTTGTTGACCGAAAGCATTCGGTATATGAACAGGAACTGTTGAATCGTTGGTTGCCCTCCGTCACCAGCAACGTGTCTCGCAATGCCAAAAAACCTCTGAAAGTGAGACAACAGATTAGTCAATGCAGAAATAAAAAAGCTTACATGTTTACCTCAAGAGGATCCTGTCCGAAATTTTCAACCAGCACATATCGAAAACCTGAGGCCAGAAGGTTCTCCACAAGTGTGATAGTACTGAGTAGGGTTACTCGCAGCGCTTCAGACTTGGGCTTGGTGAGGAAGCAGGCTTGCCTTTGCTTCGGCAAACTCTCAATGTAATCACAACAGTTGTTCAGCCATGTCACGTTCTCTTTTAATGTCTGAAAAATATTCATGTTACATCTGTAACAATAAATAAAAGCAGGATACCCATAATAACATATAAAGTCTCGAGTGGTATTTCTCACTGCAATGTGCTCCGCTTCATTATACTGCACGTGCTCCGGCCTCCGAGAATTCAAGCAGTCAAACAGGCCGTTCATTCGTCTGGTGAATGCCGCGGTCGCCTTTGAATCATGCAGCTCCTTGCACACATCTTGCCTGCTGTAAAACTCCAGTGAAGCAGCTGTAGATTCACTGAACAACTGAAGATAAAAAATCAGTAAGGTGTGGCTGAAGGAGTAGTTTCCCAAACATGCTACCTGCTGCACAAGAAAAAGTCATAATATTACTTGCCTGAACAGCAAGTCTCACACTGATTTTCTGGAAGGCATTGGGCATTATGTGGGCTTTTGTCAGTTTAGGCACAGCTCGGAGTCCAGCCTGGTCTTCCTCATACCCCAAAAGGGACTTGAAATGATCGTGGTAAACGTCACCTTCTGGCAGCTTGAAACAAAATTTCAATTATTGTTGTAAACAATTTGTACAGCAAAGTATAGCATAACCACGCCTCGTTTTTCTTACCAGAAACTTTCCAACCTTCTGAAGGTTGTTTCTTATGCACTTGAAAATGTGCGGTGGGTCGATGACAGTGTAAATCTCTCCTGACGGGTCACAGGGGTGTTGAAATGATGTTTGTGGGTTTTTTCTGTCCCCATGTATGCCTGGAAAGAAGAAATTTCAGCTGTATAACCATATATTACAGCAGTACTCTAGGATTGTTACAGGAAAAAGTTGTTACCCAACGACCTCAAAGCTGACCGGTTGCTTGTAGAATTGTCGCATGTCACAGCCTGGACAACAGCGCCAGAATTTTCCAAGTGCACAATGCACTGCAGCAGCAATTTAGCCACAACAGAACCAGGAGCAGCGCTGGAAGTGCAGAATGTTCCCACAGTTTGCGACCAGCCCCCAAGAAAGGGCCAAAACAGGAACACCAACACATGATCAGCGTCTTTCTCGTTATCCCCTGGCCTGGTGTGTTCAGCAAGGTTGACTTTTCCAAGCAGGGCCATATCAGATTCTCTGACATGCAGGCTTTGGCGAACACTCATCTCATCAAACATGAGTACTCCTGCAAAATAGAAATGGCCAAATGGCTTAGGAACAATGTCAAAAGTCACAGGCACTGCTTTTGATTTTAAATATAGATATTTCTCCAAACCTCGTCGTTCTCTTTCTGGGACCGCTGCAAGCTTTTCGTTCAGAGCAGCAAACAAGTTTGCATCAAACCCAAAGTCAGCTTTCATGTTCTTCATGTAAGTGTACAGAGTGCGGGGGTTAGGGAGAGGTAGAAATTCGTTGTCATGAAGGAACGTGTACACAGACGTTGACTTAACCTTCAGAAGGAGACAGTCATAAAGCCATTCTTTCCTGTACCTAAAGAGAAAAGTAGGAAACTGTTCTCACATTTCGAAACATGCTACATAGTGGGCCTTCAGGATAAAAAACATTCGTGCAGTGCATTTGGAATTACATGCATGTACATGACACAGACAAGATGCTTTATATGCATGCATAATGTGTGTGCACCAGACACCAAAAATAGGAGAGGGGGCTCATCATACTGAAACACATGCATTAAATAGTAAAGTTGTTTTATAATGAATTTCACATGCATTTACAGTAGCGAAACTGCTAAAAGGATACAAGCACATTATACCAGGTTCATGCGTAGGTGCTTCAAGAATACCCCATTCCATGACATGCTGTATGCTGCTTTCGAGCTGCATGTGCTGAAAGCCCAATGAACAGTAGGCACAGAGGAACCATGTTCAGGGGAAATACATGCGATCTGGCATTTCTCTGGCATATCGTATGTTATGCAACCATAGCATTTGACACGTTGCAAACATATGCAGCGCATTTTCCAACCTTGAAGTATGGGCAATACGAAAATGTATAAAGCTTCATCCGTCTGTAATTGTATTCATCCTCAATAAGCAACAGACACTGCAAAGTGAGACTGTTGGCACGTTAAGGATAAAAGGAATGCTGTGGAAAGCAAACGTAACTTTTATTTGAAACTGCTGGAGTAATAAAAAATAGGGGGTGCTGAAACAAAATCGATGTGGTGACACGCATATGGCCTGTTGAATCAATATTCTCAACATGCCCGAGGAATGTTAACATTAAAGTGTATTTTCAGCGAAGAAGCATGGTGGGGTAATCTAAAGAACCAAATTTGACACCGAAATACACCAACACTGCTCCCAAACATCCTACACGCGCTGGCCTGTTTTCTAAACTTACCTGGCAGCTTTCGCAGACTTGGCATTCGCCTTCATCACGCACTGATCAAAAATCAACTTCGTGCGGGTTGACATTTTTTGAAGGCTTTCTTCCAAGTTTTTTGTGCTTGCTCGCTTGCACTCTCATCTTGGCGAATTTCGTCTGACACAAGGTCAGCTGTTGTTTCGTTGCCCTAAGTTGGCACTTCAGCAGTTTAACCTCGGCGAGAGGGCTGGTAAATTCATCTGTCTGGCACGCCGAGTCCGAAGTGCGCGTTGGCCCCTCGCCGACAAGATCTGTGGGAAGTGCAAGATCTGCAAAACAATTTCAAAGATCGTTTCAAATAACGCATTTTCAGCTCACACACTCCTTCGAAATTTCACCGATATAATCACTGCACGGGCAAGAAAGTTAAAACAACATTGGACGTAAACTCACCTTCATCACACGACGCGGCACCCGATGTGCCTGGTTTGGCGTGAACTTCTGTTTTACGGGCACATGAGGACGACTCACGACGTCGCTTCGCTGGGGACCTTCTTGTCAGGGTCCGTGACCGCTACTTCGGCTTCGTCAAATACGCTGGCAAGCCGTCAAACTTCTTTGGAATGGCACGAGGCTTCAGAAGGGGCTTGTCGCGCGGAAGTGACACTTTTTCGCCATTCACCACAAATTCATCTGCGCGGACGATGTCACTGTCATCGAAATGCTTCTCGCACACTCTCAGATACTTAGAGTCGAAGCAAAAGTCACCCGTTATTTGCCTTGGAATTAAGCGCTTCCATTTCTCCCGCAGCACGCCGTCGCTGGGTAAACAGAACAAGAAAACTTTTTCTGTTCTGCCCTTGTACCCGAAAGACATCCCGGGACACAACACGTGTTCGGCATCGTCGCTGCACTAACGCCGCATCACAACAGCACGATATGCACGTTTCCCACACAAAGCAAACAACTCGCAGCGTCGTTCGAGCCAGCGCAACGCCGCCCGACCAGCCCGACGAATCCCCTCAGTGAGATGGTGGCGCCACCGCGCGGCAACCCAACGCATCATATGAAGCTCTCCCATTGAGTTACGGAGCAGTTTCGTGACCAGTAAAATTGAAGGATTTTAGTCAAATATACAAGCGTCAGTTGAAACTTTTCGGGGCACACAGAGCATGGCAGCTGCTGAATAGATCCGAGGCGGGCGGAAGCCATTTTGGCAGCAGCAACGATGCTGTTACGTAGCATAACTCAGTGGCAGTCGTGCGCTGATTGGTTCTTCATACATCGACTCGCTTCCGGCATTGATGCCGACGCTGCAGATATCTGAATTGTCCAGAAGTGGACGTTTCGGCCACCGTCATTGGCAGTGGCGACGCCTAGCAACGCCGGCATATGAAACGTCGGAAAAACTCTGGAAAAACACTGCATATGTTTCGGGCTTTGGAAATGGAACTGTATAGAAACACGACTACCTACACTTTTTTAATACAAACATGCCTGCTCACTGCAGCCAGCAAAAAGTTCACTATAATGGGTTAGGTGCACCTGACAGCTACAATTACCATCTCGCTTTCTGTCCACCTGGCTGCAAATGTTGCTTGGATATGCGACCTTCGCTTACATTCCAGTGCCTAATTATAAAAATACACTTGATATTAATTTTGATTGTCGTGTATAACTATATTGTGGGACTACTCGGCCAGCTAAAAGTGAGTCGACAATGGACATTTCAGGCGGAGCTGCCCCCCGGCGACTTGGGTGCACCCCCTTTTCTGCAGCAGCTGCTGTCGTTGGTGCGTGAGCTTCTTTCTACACGTGATGGCTCCCTTGCACCTGTCGACCAGAGGCAGAAGGACCTGCCTGACATACTTGCTCAGGTGAGAGACTGCAGTAATTGAGTGTTCAGCTGAGAGTGTCTTGCGCTCTGCTTCGCACGTTGTGTGTATCCAGATGCTGCTGCTGCAAAACAACAAAAAAAGAAGCACTGATTCTTACATTCTTGAGTGGCTCATATCCAAGATTGTGAGTGAGAGCCTCACTATCAGCTGTGCAAAAAAAAAAAAAAAAATTAAATATGGTCACGTCATGTGTAACACAGTTGAAACAGCAGAACAGCAAGCACAGCAGTCTTGATTTTCATTTTTGGCAGGGGCATTGTACACACATACTCTAGCATAATATGTTGGACGATGTATTCTTCACCTTCGCAACTGTGTGACCACATTAACCCCATGATCAGAGGCAAATATGGTGTTAAATTATCCATAAATTTACAAGCTTGAGAATGCATTTTGTATTATATGGTAGACTCTCATTAAATGCAACCTGGAGGGACAAGGAAAATATGTTCTGTTCAACACAAGTTCCATTTACTGAGAGATAAGAGGTGCAGAATGTGAGAACGAAACCAATCTTGTGAAAAGCGCCTGTTCTATTTTGAGCTGCATTTCTGTTAAACACATCTTTGTGTAGTAGAGTCTACTGTGTACTTAAATCTTTCATGCTCGTGACTTCTTAGTAAGGGTGTGCGTATACTGTGGAGTCTCGATACATTCGTGGAGAAAAAAAAAAATGCGGATAATAAACGTGTGATTCGGGAAAACGTACTATTCGAATTCAGTAAATATCGTGGCAGATAAGCCAATATTGAGGTGCTGGAGGAGTGACAGCCTTCATTGTTTGTGTTGTGCTTGTTAACTCCACAGCATTCCCCCCAAGCTGTTGTTGTAGTCATGGTGTGTACAAAAATGTGCAGAACGAGTGTGCATCTATATATACTGTGCCACGGTTGAAGGATATACAATTCTCAGCGATACCGCGCCAAGTGCTATAGAAAAGATGGTTTTTTAAAACCTGTTAGAAGATTTCGGCGGCCAGCGTCCCTGCCTGCCTTCAGGTCGGGGTGTGGGTGACAGAGAGTGGTGATAGAGCTATTAAGAGAAAACTCAGAGGGGATGATCAAGTAATTCAGATAAGGTGCGTAGGGGGCTATTAAGCAAAGCAGCATGGAGGGGGGAAATTAGGCACTGCGGAGAAGCCACCGGTGCCTGTGCGGCGACTATCTGCCACATATGCTTGCAGTTGCTGGCGGTACAGAACATTGCTGCTGAAAAATTGTATTTTCCAAGACTGTATTAACTGGAACGTACTATTACGCACAGCTCTATGGGGTTCTTTGTATTTTTTGCAGTTGCGAACGTAGGAGCTGGGCAATCGTATTAAGCGGGAACATATCGAGTTGCTGCTGTATTTGTGCTTGCGAATATTTTCCTAATGGTGTTTGCTATTCAATGCGATTTGCACCAGGACATTAATATTGAACGTATTCAAACTTTCAGACGAAGGAAACATATATATTGGTTTATATTTACAGGTAATAAATAAAACAGTGATGAATATCCATGCAGCATACTTAGTCTCGCGTTTTGAAACATTGATGGAGCTAAGCCCAGCCAAGACTCCAAGAAGTAAGTTCAATCGCAGTGTGTGTAGCTGCGGTGCCCAGTGTTTCAAAGTACGGTATTTACTCGCATAATCCTCGCACTTTTTTTGCAGAAAACAAATGAAAAGTTGGGGGGTGCGAGAATTAGGCGGGAAAAATTTTCAGCAATAACATACAAAGCTGTTATTTATTACAGTAGACTCTTGGTAAACGAAACTATAAGAAACCAGAAAAATTTGTTCCGTTTAACAGGACTTTCGTTTATTGAGAAAGATGTAAAAAAATGCCGATTTATGTGTGCACACTCTCCTAATACTATTTTATGGATATCTAAACACTATGCGATGCACGTAACTCATAGTTTTTTCAGAGAGCAAGGAAACTACATGAGGTTTTTACGTAGCATTCCCAAGTTTATTAGGCACCAAATAATCACCGTGGACTAAAGAATGGATCACTTTTCTTATGTTTGAGTTCTTGCATTCTCATCTTCAGAATATTTTTCTCCATGTCACTTAGGCTTTGAAGAAACACTTCTGATTCTGGCTCCTTAAGAAAATCCTTCAGGTAAAACACAGCAGACTCTTCCGCCTGAAGTGTGCTAACTTCTGTGTACCTCTTCAGAGTGTTCTTCCAGCTCCTCCTCCTCCACTCATACTTTGTCAGCAATGCTTTGCACTGTGTTGTCAGGGAAAGTTGCAACACCACTGTCAACTTGCACGTATTCATCGAAGTCCAGTGTGATTTCCTTTAAAGCGCACTGCTCAATTACCTCGCCTTTCAAGGGCATCTTCGCTGTCGCATTCAAAGTCATCCAAGTCGGATGTCAGGTCACTTAAAGAAAATCCTGCATGCCTGAAGCAATTTGCTATGCTTGTGGGAGTCAGCTGCCTCCAGGTGTCGGCAACGAGGTGAACGGCACCAAGAACATCCAACTTGTACTGTTTATCCTGGCTCATGCACAAGAGCATCCTCTGTAAGAGACCCTTGCGGAAGCGTGACTTGAGGGCTTGGAAAACTTCCTGATTCATGGGCTGTAACAGTGCTGTGGTGTTAGCTGGGGGGAACTCCAACTGAATCGATTTCAGTCATGTTACAGTCCCATGTCCAGGGCAGATGTCAACGAGGAAAAGGACTTTCCTATTTTGCCATGAAAATCGCGCATTCTCTGTGTGCAGCCATTTGCTGAAGAGGGCTTGGGTCATCCAAGCTTTCGAGTTGGACTCTTAAGTGATGGGCACGGTAGTCATTCCCTTGAAACAGCGAGGATTTTTTAAATTTTCCTATCACAAGGGTCTTCAACTTGTTGCTGCCCTACATATTTGCTCCAACAAGAACAGTCAGTCTGTTTTTGCTCAGTTTTCTCCCTGCGCCCAGTTCACCTTTGAAAGCGATTGATTTTGATGGCAGGAGCTTAAAAAAAGTGCGGTTTCATCGACCTTGTTTATGTCATCATCCTTGAACTGCCGCATTATCTCCGGCAGCCATCCTGCCCGCTAGTCGCGACACGCAGTCGCATCAGCTGCGGCAGCTTCTCCCGCGATAGTGTGAAAAACAAGGCCATTTCTTCCTTTAAACCTTGTCAGCCAGCCTTCACTGCACAAGAAGTTCTTTATCCCAAGCTGAAGAACAAACTCTTCTGCTTTGGCATGGATTAGTGGCCCGTTGATGGAAATTCTCTGGCTCCAGGCTCTACTAAGCCATAAAACCAGGCACCTCTCCAGTTCTTCGTGGTCGCCGTGATGCAGACGCTTTCTCTAGGGCTCGAATCGTGAAGTTTCGAAAGCATCTCGTAGCTTGTCCTTGTCGTGCAGGATCCTCGTTAGGCTGCTTTTCAAGACGCCGTGCTTCGTCGCGAGCGCCGTTTGAATATGAGGTGCTTTTGAAGTCAAGAGTGATGTCCATCTTTTTTTCCAACATCAGCGCATGGTATGCCCGCTTCTGCATCGCCATTGAAACAACGAAGTCGAGGCCTCAACTGCACAAGCGCTTACGAGCCACCAAAGTTGGAAGACACCAACGCGGCAATGAAGCACGATAGGCATCACGACGGCAGGAACGATGTGGCTGTAAGCTAGGCGATTCGAACAGACCGAACGACTTGATCAAGAACGGCAATGTAGCATTCGTTGCGCTGACTACCAACGAGGCGAGACTTACGACGACTAGAAAAGAAAAAAAAAAAAGCCAGAACCCGAACTGGCTGATTCTCATGGAAATGGGTCCGCCAGAAGTTTTATTTTCGGTTCCGTTTACACGGTGAAGCGCAAATTTTAGTTCCGATTAACAAAAGTTTTTTTTGTCTTATCTGAATACAAAACCAACCGAATTACTGGCTACTGTTTCGTTTAAGTGGCAATGCCGTTTAAGCGATTTCCGTTTATCAAAATTCTATTGTACATGACCAATCACTTTCAACTTGAAAGCAGCCATGTAGCTTCCGTATCGCCCCATAGCATAACAGCGTAACAACATAACGGACACATGTGAAACACGCCGCAACGTGCTCTTGCCACTTTGGCTTGGCTTGAATTGGATCACTGGCTTGGATTGAATTTAAATCCCAAGCGTGCTATTATTGCAAGGGTGCAATGATAGCACGCTTGATGCTTAAGGGGGGAGGTGGGTCTTTAGACAACTTTTCTTATTTTTAGTGCCAGGTAGATGAAAATGGGCAGTCTTGAGCAGTTTTTTACGCTGATTTCAAATCTGTAATTAGTTTTTTGATAGCTACAATAGTTCATAAAATAATGATGTCTGAAATCAAATTAGTTTCATACTCGTTACGGGGCTTTATGAAAATTTAGTCTTGCTAAACTAAAATCTGAATGCATGACACTGTTGCTAAAGATCTACTGTAGGGGGTGATGCTATTTTTATTCATTCAGAAGCATTTTACATGAAAAAAAAAAAAGGATCATGAAATTACTATAAACATTTTTTTCTAATTAGCAGCCACTGCTACACCTAACTGTAAATTTCATGGGAGTGCACGAGTGATGAAAATAGCATCCCCCCCCAGATCATCACTACCAAACGAGGCTGGATTTCTTACCGGCTTCTCCAGAGTGCAAATGTTCAGGGTATCTCGGGACATGTCTGCCCTATTATCTTCTTTCGAGGACTCTTCCTATTTTTCGATAAGTACCCTGTAGCACCTTCAGAAATAGATGACGCAGCTTCGTTAGCAAGCCCAGCTGTCTTCTGAACGTTAAAACATAACTGTCGATATTAGTGGATCACATCTTGAGGGCGAAACAAATTGTCTTTCGTGCATACTATCAGTCCTTTGCAGAACGCGGTCTTTTCATGGTGTCACGTGCATGAAGATACTTTCATGTTGGAAGACTATCTTTGGTGGCTGATGGCGTGAAAATCGCATAGTGTCTTTTGCAAGATTTGTACGCATTGTTGCTAAAGGACACAACGCACTTG